TCGAGGGAAGAAACTCGGAGACTTAACGAGCAGAAATAAAAAAAAAACTGTAAAGAAGTAAAATAAAAAGAAGGAACGAGAAGAAGTTACCTGGGGAAACCGAATCGCGACGTGGAGAGAGTGGGGAAGTTGAAATTAATGCGAGCCGCTTTATATCCCGTCGAGGCCTCGAGAATCGGGGAATAATTATTTCAAAATTCTTTTAAACTAAACCGTCGATTTCGTTAGATTAAATTACAACCGTCGGATCAAGCAAGAGATATACTCGAGAAAAGATCACGAGTAATCATTATCTTAACAAAAATAAAAGATTCGGCGGCTAGGTTTAGCTCCCGAGAAAAGCATCTTATCTCGAAAGCTGGGGGCAACTGTTGGGCCCAAATATGGCCCGTCGGCTGAAGTTAGCGAACCAGTTAAACCGAGCCCAATAATGGGCCGAATATGGGCTACTACCTCAAAGAAGAATATGGCTGACCTAAGGAAGGAAGCTGCTCCCAAAGAGGTCACGAGAAAGAGGTCATGAGAAGGAGGTCACGGAGAAGAGGTCCGGATTCTTTCGTAGGGACCTGACGAAACAGCCTAGGAAACGAAGATAGAGACATACGATTCGGTCAAAAGGAAGCTGTTGCAAATCCCTTAGTTTACGGAGAGAATCTCGGAGGCAGATTAGGGGAAGTTACGCGTGACCTAAGGCTATTTAAAGGAGAAAAGAACAAGGAGAAAAGGATTCACGTCTTTTTACACATTTTACACATACATTATCACTGGTAGATCATTCAAGTGTTTCCTTTGTATCAATCTCAATTATCTTTGTATTCATTCTCTTTACAAAAACATCAATATAACAACAATTCATTCTCTAAGTTCTTAAGGGATTCAGCCCACGATTGTCTTCTCCCCAAACCTTAACCTAACCTAAATTAAGAAGTGAGTTTTACCCCTCACAATACTCATCAATGATTACTTACATCTGTCTTCTCGTTTTGAGTGGTTTTGTTACAAACTAATATCTTCTCCCTCAGTGAATGGAATTATTTATCGTTATGTAGTATCAGGATGTGTGAAGAGGGGTGGGCGCAAGCCAGATATTTGCTAATTTTAGAAAGCTTGGTACTTGGTTTGACTCGTTTAAATAATCATATTTAAGATTTGAACCCACCTTGGGTACCCCGAATCCCTACATGTCAAATTGATGCGTCATGGATCAATAATAGAAGTGTTAATGGCATAAGATGGAGTCTTAAGAATCATATGGGCTCTGAGTTTTACGGATTAAGGGCATGCAAGAGTAGTCTCTCCGTCCTGCATGCTGAGATGGAAGGCCTACTTTGGACGGTCTCATGTATGAGAGATATGAGGATGACCTCGATACGGATCGAGATAGACTGTTCGGACTTAGTGGACATGACTACAGATCCGATGGATTGGCCAGCTGATTAAAGTGTTCCAGAGACTACAAGAGGACTTTGAGGATATGAAAAATCTCACATTCCTCGGAGTCGGAATGGTCGAGCGGACGCTTTAGCGAAAGAAGCAAGAAGCAGAGGCTACATCTTCTCCCATATAGATCAGAACAGGATAGACAGAGATGCTCTTCAAAGAATCGGCTCGTCTTTCACCACTTGATCTAAACTAGATGGACAGCAGACAAAAAAAAAGACTTGAACTTGGCTTGTTTAAAATAAGTACTTGTTATATTAAGTACTCAAGAAAAAAAAATCAGTTTACTTACAAATTGTAAATAAGTAAAATAAAACATAATCTCATAAAATGAATTTTGCTATTTTTTTATTAAAAATTTACTCGAATTCGATATATTTATCTGATTTCAGTTACAATATAAATAAAATATAAAATATGTTAAATATATGATAATTAAAATTTTTAAAACAAGTAGCAAATATTAGGTAAAAAAGGAATGAGATAAATATTGAAATATATAAATGCATTTGATGACTTACATTTACAAATAATAAGATTCATTGGCTTAAACAATGCCGAGAACTTGATTTTTTAAAGTGAAATAAGACAAACAATGCAAATGAAAAGAAACATGATTAAACTAATTTAAAAATATAAATGAATTAAGATTTTGAAATTATAAAAATGTATGCCAAAAACGAACCAAGTAACTAATATTTTTTAAAAGACTTGATATTTGGTTTGTACTTGCAAGTTTTTAATTTGAGATACTTGTTACTTGGTTTGATCGTCATAAGTACTTGATTTACGGGGTAAATACGAGATGAGTAGTGGATACAAGCCGAATATCAAATATTTGTGCACAGTCGTAGTACAGTAAAACCTCTATAAATTAATAATGTTGGGACTTTGAAATTTTATTAATTTATAGAGATATTAATTTACAAAAGTTTCCTTCTTTAGATTTTTTTTTCTTTTTCCATTGTTATTTATAAAATAAAAAAATATTTTATTTTAGCATATGTACATTATTTAAATTTTAGAAATTTGGCTTTTATATTGTTTTATTATCTTATTTTGTGTATATTTTTATGTTTCATAGAATCGTTACATGGTTTTCGATATAATTTAACTAAATATTATCAAAATATATTGAAATTTTTTTAAAAAAATAAAAGTATTTTATAGTATATATAAAACCCGTAACTAAATATTATCAAAATATATGGAAATGTTTAAAAAATAAAAGTATATAAAACCAACAATATAATGTTAGATTGTACTTATATAAAATTATTTATAGCTAGATTATTAATTTATGATTTTAGTGGGACCATATATTTACATGGCAGTTTTAAAAATATTATTATTTTATTATTTTATCGATTTATGTCATATTTTACACCGGCCCAAATTGGGACCGATAAAATCATTTATTTATAGAGATTATTAATTTATCGAGTATTAATTTATAGAGGTTCTACTGTATGTGTAAGTGAGTGTCTGAAATTGAGTTCTTAAACTTCAAAAAAAAAAAAAAACAAATCAAATTAACCAAAACTCGGGGTTTTTAAAAATTTGGGCCAGACTTTCAGACTTCATAACGTCGTAATGGGGTTCTCAACTTGACACAAGTCAAGATTTTATTTTGCGTTAGATGGGCCTTTCTTTTTTTCCGAGCCCATTTCAACCTTTTGTTAAACCTCACCGTTTTAGTCTTTAGCTTCTACAGTGAAAAAAAGTATGGAGAAATCACGGCGGCGGAAGGATGGTGAAACCAGCAGCCTTGAAGAACACTCATGGCCGCCGCAGCTCACAATGGATCTCACGATGGAGATCTTCTCCAGGTTATCCCTCAAGTCCATTGCGATAAGTCGTTGCGTATCGAAGCAATGGGCCTCCCTACTCAGCCACTCCGATTTCAGGGATCTGCGTTTGAAAAGGTCCAAGGCTCGTCCTCGTCTATTGTTCGCCTGCATCCAAGATAATAAGGTCTTCTTCCTCTCCTCGCCTCAGCCTCAAACTCTTGAAGAGATTTCGTCGACTAGTCCTGTTGCCGCAGCAGATTATCACATGAGTTTCTCCTTTGATCATCCCGTCGAAGATGTATCCACAAGTGTCAGTGGCTTTGTCTGTGTCCGCATCAGTGGTCATCGTTTCGTAAACGGAAGGAAGTTCATGGTGGATGAGTCGGTGATATGTAACCCTAGCAATGGGCAATCACTTACTCTCCCCAGGATGAAGACAAGGAAGAGGACTGGGATGGTACGGTTTTTCGGGTACGATCCGGTTGAGAAACTACACAAGGTGTTGGGAATGATTCGTCATAATATAACTATGGACCATCAAGTCCTGACATTAGGAGGAGGAGGAACAGCGACATGGAGAATGACTGAACTTGGCGGCATACCATGTGATTCTTCTGCGTGTAGACAGCATTTATGTATTAATGGTGTTTTCTATTACATTGACTTGGTTAGCCATGGCAATCGTATAATAGTTTGCTTTGATGTTACATCTGATAAGTTCAGCTTTGTTAAGTTTCCGGAAAGGAAATTGTATCCGGTGGTGCGGCTAGCCTATCCGGGGTTGCTAGACTTCAACGGTCAATTGGCTTTAGTAGTGAGTGACCATTTTTATGTCAGTAGTGAATGTATTGAGATGTGGGTTCTACAAGACCCCGAAAGACATGAATGGTCCAAACTTGTTTACGTATTTCCCCCTATGTGGAAAGATGTAGTTGATCCAGGGGAGCAGTTAGAGATTGTTGGAGTGACTGGTCCTGATGAATTTGTTATGTCCCCCACGTGTTCATCTGACCCTTTTCATGTCTACTACTGCAATTTCGAAAAGGAAACTGTAGCAAGAGTTGTAATCCGAGGAATGGGAGCGTTTGGGAGTGGGAGGAGGTATGATGTTCGCACCTGTCTGAACCATGTGGAGGATGTGAAGCTTATGGAGTTATTATGAGGGATGTTAGATGATCATGACATCTTGCTAGAGAGCTTTTGTGACCTATTCTGGCTTAGTATGATTGATCTGTATTAACTGATTTTGTAGATACTGTTTAATGTTTTGTACGTAACAATCTGCAGAATGATCATGTGCCATCATCTCTTTTAGCCTTCTCATTGTTTTTTTTCTGTTTTTGGCTTTGTGATGGCTCACTTTTGGTTGCTCTGTTCATATAGAAAGATGGTAGAAACAGTAATGGAATCTGGACTAGTTTATCAAATCAAAGAGTTCTCAACTGATGAATGGAAAGTATATGATCTTGATATGATTAGTAACTATCATCATTATGAGGGATCTCGAGACTCTGTTATTTTTACGGTCGAATTGGTGGGACGATACAGTTGTAACTCCCTTTTAAAACAAGCATTCTTGTTTGACATGGAAAGATATATCATCAGGTTTTGTTATTTATACATACAACTGTTTCTTAAGCCACACGAGAAGGAAGCCATAACCAGCAGCTTCCTCTCACAAATGTTTTTTTTTGTAGTGAATATTTTTGATGTTGGTTTGATACATAAGTCGTTTTCAGTCTCTCTCTCTCACTATCCAGGTGCTGAGTATTACTCACGATGCTCATGGTTTTGGATTGTGAGCTTCTGCCATAGCTTGGTGGAGTTGATTAGGAAGTTCATCATGTTCAGTCCCATCCCGCTGCACTGATGAAACAAGCACAGTAGGCAACTCCATCAACCAGATGAAATGCAAATAACATAGTATCTGTATGATTAAGCAACACATACCGGGAAAGCTTGAGAAGATGAGTCATTCAGTTCCTCTTGAATTTCGCTTAGTAAGACCTCTGATCTGATGACATCTATGGAGGATGTGTTATTTTGCACATCAGACCTTACTTGTGGCAATACAAGCCGCTGAAAATCAGACAAGAGCACAGATAGAGCTCTAACTTCATCCACTCTAGCTTCCCTATACATGTTTCAAGAAGAAACACTATCAATACATCATCTGCAAATCAATTAAAATATATTAAAAAAAAGTTTCCTTGACTGATGAAACCTTGTATGTATAAGGTTTCCTTTGCAGGTGAAGTGTATTTGACAAGTAACAGGCGCTTGTTGGCAGACAAAGTTTGCTTTCTTGGACCTGAGATCCTCCATTTTTCTAGCAAAAATAGTTAACAAGCTTTCTGTAAGAAAGAGGACACAGGATGATCCCCATATATAAAGAGTTGGTCATGTCTAATCTTGATATACATGGAATAGTGTTTATCTGCAGCTGCTCCCATTACAAACTTCCTGATCTTATGCTGGTATATCACTTCCACAATCCCTTTCTCAATTGAGTCCATTTCCACACACAGCTTCTCTGCCTGGACCTACACAATACACAAACCAAACTCCCTCTTTAGAATATAGAAAATATAGTTAATATACATGTCACACTCTTTGTACATACCCCTTTCCTTAGGCAAATACTAAGGTATTCATGTAGAATCTTGTCTGTTTTTGCTGTTTCTTGGCCTCGGTATGCTCTCACTGATTCCTCATCCACCGTTGAAGCTTCAAATCTGGTACCCACTTGAGTCAAAAAAGTGAAGAAATGTTTAGAAAGTCAATACATGATCTTACCAGAGGAGAGACACTTAGGAAATATACTTACAGATTGGAATCGTCGGAGATGGTTGGTGGATATGAAGGATGCAGATTTTCTTTCCTTGTGAGTTTTCTAATGCCCACATGAGATTTGATGTGTTCTCCCATACGTTTTTACCAACTGCGACATAGATTTTCTCTTCTATTACCTGACTAGTGGCTGCTTCTTCCTCCATATCCTGGGGAGAACAATTGATTTTCTAATGGGGGAGACAAAGTTTTTGGTCTGGAGAAACTTTTAACAGATAGTTTCCTCTGCACCATCATTTCCCGTTTACTTGGATAGCCAATGGCTGCACTTTTCTTACGAATCTGTTCCTTCGAATATTCGACTAATCTCTCTATATATATAATGTGGGAAAAGACTTGATCAATGGCCAGAGAAGACATGTCCTTTTCTATACCAAATATTATAATCATGAGAAACAATGTCCGAGAATGTGGTTAACTAGACATGGAATTGTCTTTTACTTCTTTAATTTGTTTATTATCTGTTTTGTCTCAGTCCACAGAGCATCTGCAAAAAAAGAAACAACAACATTACAAGCACGCAAGACAAGAACGTTCTGTCAGATAACAAGAAAGATGAAAATCCAAAATTTAGTTATGTCAGCTCCCATGACTAGATTCTTGGCACTTTTCAATGTGTATCTTCTCTACACGGACCTAAAATACAATCAGTCAGCTCTCTTTATCTCATGTATCCTCAAAACAAAAGGGATAATTTCATTTATGAGCTTGCATATGTGAAATCATCTAATTACAAAACATTGTTATAACTTTATAGAACAATATCTTCAATGTACTGATAACATAAAACAAAGTCAACAGATACAAGTTAAAGTCATAGTTGTGGCTCTGGACTTGCTATGGCATAACCTGGAGGCTAATCTTTGTGCTAAGATAGCAAATTATATTAGTAGTTATAATCACACAAACCTTATAAACATATAACCCTTTTCATCTGCCAAATATAGTACACACATATATATATATATACACACATACAAATCTCAGAAGCCTCTTCTTTTTTTACTATCTGACAAACATGGAGGATTTACACTATGCTTTGACAAAGTAGGCAATTAATATATGTTATCTATGCAGACAAACAATATAAACATATAACCTTCTTTCTATCTGAACATATATACAAATCTCACCAGCCTTTCTTTTTCAACAGGTAAATATGGAGGATTTACACTATGCTTTTTGACAAAAGTAGGAAAATATATGCTATGGAGGGATCGTTATGTATGAATACAAGGATAAGGAAGATAACTTCTTTTCATGAGAGATTACATGCAGGATTTAACAAGGGTTTTTCATTTCAACAATGATGTTGAAGCCACTCCTGAATTGCAGACCGAAGAGCAAGGTTAGGGATTAAGCTATTGTGTGAAAGCTTGCCATTAGTCATCGGTGAAGTGTCGTGTCCACTGTCCAGCCACGCTCTTATAGCCTCTGCTTCATATGTGAAACCATCTGCAGCTACGTGTGGATCCTGCATGACTTCCTACAAGTTTTTTAACAAACAAGACATCCTTATTAGTCTCCATTCAAGTTGCCACATTAACGAGTATCAACAGTCAATAAGTTTACCTGGAATATGGGACAAATGAAGTATGGAGGAGCTATGCGTTTTTCGTTACGGCCGAGATGGAAAGATGAAGATCCTCCACTTGAAGCCCTCATAGGTTCAAGAACCCTCCAAACCTCAGTAGCAAGGTCCGGACGATTCTCACTGACAGTCTCACAGCATCTCAACGCCAAGCGAGCAAGCTGCTCAGCCTGAACAAAGGGCCAGTCACCTGCTAAAGGATCCAAAAGTTTGATTAATGAACCAGAATCAAGTGCATACTTGACTTCATTCGCTATCCGTAAAGCAGGTCTCCCCGTCAATAACCGCAACAATACAATCCCAAACGAGTAAACATCTGACTTTGGTGTTAGCTTTCCACTACTAGAAGCTTCTGGATCCAAGTAAGCAGCTGTGCCTGTAACTTCGGTTGATGCACGTCTGCTTCCATTAGAATGAAGTATCGAGCACGTTCCAAAGTCACTCAACTTGCTAACGAGGTTAGCGTCGAGAAGAATATTCCCAGGCTTCAAATCACCGTGTACTAAGCTATGAGCTTTATTGGAATGAAGAAAGACAAGCGCTGCACATACTTCAGTGGCAATGCGTACACGGTTTTGCCATGATAAAGGTGGAGAGTTGTCCTTGCAAGTAAGCTTATCTTCAAGGCTTCCATCAGGAAGATACTCATAGACAAGACTCCACCCCTCAGGACAAGCTCCGATTAGTGTGATGATATTCGGATGCCTCATTTTGCTTAACACATCAACCTCTTGTTGATACTCCACAGGGCCTTGTGAGCTCTTGGGATTCAATATCTTTATAGCCACCTGAGTATGACGCAGTGTGCCAATGTAGATGCTCCCATACCCACCTTCACCAATCTTCAGGGACGAATCAAAGCGATTAGTTGCTTCCTCAATCTCTGAGAAGGTAAAATCAGTGAAGTACTGAGGTAACTGTTGTAGTGTTGAAGTCTCTGTGCGTCTCCTCCTTAACTCCTCAGCTTCTCTGAGGGCACTGTCCCGTTCTGTCTGTAACTCTTCTCGTTCACCTTTTAACTTTTGTAACAGATTCACGGCTACGTCAAGCTTCTGGTTTAGCTGTAGCAATGTACCATCAGCTTCTGCTATTTGGTTCCAAAGTATCTCTTTCTGTGCCGTTGCGCTTTGAACTTCTCCCATGACTACTTCCTGTTCTTTTTTTATTGTTACGAATCTTTCTTTTTCTTTGGATACTGCTGTCTCAGTCTCTTTCCTTCGCTTTAACTCCTCAGAATAAGCACTTTCTGATTGTTTAACCTATATTCATTAGCAACAATATCAGAATAATATTACTTTATAGCCGTTATTTGTCTTAACTAGAAGCACCACCATAAGCCTACTAATCTTTTTGAGTGATATGCTAGCAAACATAATGGTCCAGTTTATAACCTATATCTTTAACTAGTCGGAAAATAAAGTCTGAACAAATTGATTTTTTCGAAATAATAGGGCGCCTAACCACCGCTTAGAGATTTCTTGAACAATGAAACTAACATTGCTAATCGATTTACACTTGTAAGGAAACTCACCCTTTTGATTGCATCAAGTGCAATCTTTTCAGCTTTCTGACGCTTAACAGTCTCTGCAAAAGCTTCTCGTTTTGAACTCTGAGCCTCTGACGTTACTTGTCGGATTTTATCATGAAATGAATCATCCACACCATCCTGCAATAATGGACAAAGCTGAGAATGCAAGGTATACACAAATCAAAATGCATGGCTTTTACCACTACTAGTAAGAACTACATGAACATACCGGAAAATTGGAAGGAGATGAGCTGTCAGAATTCTCATCAACAGTACTCATAACCGTTGTACTTCCCCTTACTCCACGGCCGTCAGATTCTCTCTCCTCGTCATCAGTTGTATTTAACGAACCATTTGACACCCTCTCACTGTGTTCAGTTGAACTTCCATTGCTATGTAATCGAGATATATTATGCAGAAGCTCAGACTCTGGTGTGGAGAAAGCTTGAAGTAGATCTTTTGCAGTTATGGAAGGCCGTGGAGATGCATTTTCTGATTCACTATCATCCGCAGCTTCCCTGAAATGGTATCACATTAGCCAACATGCCTGGCTCGTACAGTCCAAATTCATATTAAAAATCTAAGGATTTGGTTATGATGAGAAAAAAAATGAAATACAAGAACCTTGTATGTATTAAGTATCCTTTGCAAGTAAACCATATTTGACATGGAGCAGGAGCTTCTCGTCGTACTAAAATAGCTTTCCTGGACTTGAGTTCCGTCATTTTCCTGTAAATAGTTAGGGAAAACAAAAAATTATTCAAAATATTGAGAGTGAGACAGCTCTACAAGAGTGGATTCATTGTTATGAAGATGTTACTTTGAATGGTGTTTATCTCCTGCTGCTCCCATGACAAGCTTCCTGATTCCCAGCTTCGAGATAAGTTGCACAATTCCATTCTCTATGGATTCTGCTTCAACAAACATCTTTTCTGCCCTTACCTACACAAAATCATAACCGAATTATCCTCTAGAAGCAAATATAAAAACTATCAAGTTAGACATGAAAAAGTAGTATTAAAGTATATAGCAAAAAACATACCCCTCTCTGCTGGCATATACAAAGATACTCGTCTAGGATCCTATTTACTTTCTCCCTTTCTTTTTCCCTGAAAACACTGACTTCTTCCTCCTTCACAGAACTAACTGGAAACTTGGCTCCCACTAGGAAAGGTTCAATGAATAAAAACAGTAAGATAAAAAGGCTCTAACCTTTGAATCCACAGACAACAGGGGTTAGAGGGGGTACTTACTTACTGGGATCATTTGGGAAGGTTGATGAACGTGAATGATGCAAATCTTCTTCCCTCCAGTGTTCTGCAACGCCCAGATGAGTGTAGACTTGCTCTTGGCCACGTGTTTATCAACAGCAACGAAGATCTTCTCCTCAATTAGGCGTGAGAGAGGTTCTTCCGTGAGGCTGCTCCTACTTGACCTTGAACCAGGGCTAGTGATGCCATGGAATCTCATGGATCCAGCTCTTTCGCTCATAGCTGGAATTGGAGTCACCAAAGCCATCGTGAAAAAACTCTCTCCCAAAGGTCTCAACTTTTACAGGAGAGTTAAACAAGATCGTTTTTCACTCCTAAATTCCACACAACAACAAACAAACAAATACAACTAAGAATTCAACAAAAGCAGCGAACGAACCCAAAAGGGATTTTGACTATAGAGCAAAAACCCTAGAGTAGGCTACGGATAAGAGAGGTGATTTCATGACCAAAGTTACAGTCTTTCAGACAAAACTACAAGCAAGACATCATGAAAGTGATAAGTTTAGTTTCTTTTTATAAAAAGAAAAAAAAAACTAATTATCGGAAATTCTGAGAGAGAAACAGTTGTAATTGAGAAGGAAAGGCAAATTGCTTTGAACATACCAAAACGAAGAAGAAGCTTCCTCCTTGAGGGAATTTGAGTGCCTAGTGGTGATCAAAACGTGACGTGGTTGAAACATGAGAAAGTATAAAGAGAAGAGACGGGAGATTGTTCTGCTGTGTGTAAGCGCACGGTAATACTTATATAACGGGGCCGGTCCTACTTTAAGCGATTGATGACGCGTGTACTTAATAATATGAATTTGCTTTTTATTGTCTAAGATCATGTATTCATATGTTTTAGTTAGACTAATCATTTGAAGTTAAATTTCATAATTAGATAAAAAATATTTCTAAACTTCAATATATACCTTTTCTTTTGCAATTTTCCTTAGTTTTTTTTTCAAAAATATGTTATCTTGTCCTTAGGAATATATTTAAGTATTTTGTCTCTTCGAATATTGATGAGGAAAAGATCTTCTTAAGAACTATTGATATAGATGAAAAAATATTTGAAGAATTTTTTTCGATAAGTTATGAACTAGTTGAATAGTTAATGTGCCGTGTGTGATTGTACCAAGTTATATAATGTAAAATACTAGGAATATTCCTGTAAATGCCTATTCCCTTGTCATTTTCATATAATTGTATTTTTTTCCTGGGGCCGTAATAGAATTTTATTTCTTATTGAATATTACGTTATTACGTAATTGACAGGGTTTTTAAAATAAATAAAAGGTTGTCTCGTTATATGAAGACAGGCTAGGCACATCCATAACTTTGCTAGTTTATCAACTAGCCAAAATAATTTAATTCAAGAGAAAAATTGAATATTAATTATATATTATCGTTGAATATTTCAACTTAGGATATACGATCTGGGAATGTAGCATCTGTTTTATCATTCGCCGAAAGCTTTATCTTAAACTGCAATTTGAATTTGTTTATGCACGTTTGATCATGTTAGGAAAAATAATTAATAATGTTAATTGGATATGACTAGTCTTCACGATAACGGCTTCTTAACATTTTTTTTTAAGAATCAAATTCCTACATGAATCACCTCGGTAGTCATATGTTTGTTTCATAAAAAAAAGGTTTGCATTATGAGTACAAAAACAAAATCACACTTAAAGTCTGGTTACTTGTATTATGTTAAAATTTTAATGTCATGGAAAAGAGGGCAAATAGCAAAAATAGATATTTTAATTATTAATGATAAATAAAAATACATGTTCCAAATTCAAACCTTATTAGTCTATTCTTCTTTTGAAAAATAACACATATTTCTACATATGTAATACTATGTTTTAAAAACCTCTATACAAAAAATTTAAATAACAAGAAAATTCTGGAAAATCACTAGTTAGTCTTTAGTGGTATTTACTATTATGATGATGATTGTTTGCACTAGTTTTTAGTTTTAGTTTTTAGTTTTTGGTTTTTAGATTCTAATTTTAGAATTTAGTTTTTGATTTTTGGTTTTCAGCTTTTAGTTTTAGTTTTTAGGTTTTAATTTTGGTTTTTGGTTTTGCTGTAGTTGTTAAATTTTTAAGAAATAAGTAATACATTATTTTAAAAGCTACTATTAAAAATATGATATTATTTAATAATACAAAATACATTAACATGTTTTAATTATTATATATTTAAGAAACTTATATTATACTAAATCATAAAATAACTAAAATTATACAACATTTTAAATATTGAAATATGGAATCTATTTATAAATTTTTTCGTATATAATTTAAATGATAAAATGTGAAAGTCATTTTTTATTTTTCAAATTAATATAATATATTTTATTAAGGAAATTTTATGTTTTATAATCTAAGTTCTTGTTTAATAAGTCTAATAATTATTTATAAAATTAAATAATTTTATTTATATAAATGGATAACCAGTTTTAATTATTTAGTATTATATACAAGTATAGAAAATTATTTTGAAATGAAACATAAATAAATGATTACACATTATTGCTTACATGATATCTTTTGTAGCAAACATTTATTAGACATTTATCTTTATAAAGTATTATTATTTAATTATTAGCTAATTAAAATGTACCACTTTCTAATAAAAAGGAAAAATTCATTTTTAATGTTAAAGAAACAACAAAAATGGATTTTTGGTTTCTCTCACAAATTGATTAAAAATTCTAAAAACCAGTTTTCCTAATTTTAGGGAATCTATTTACTAAAAAAATTGAATGACAAAAAAATGGTTTTTACAACAACCAAAAAAAAACCAAAATTTTGATTGGATAAAAATTAATTTTTGAAAAAACAAAAACCAAAAACTATTTTAGAAACTATTTCAGAAACTACAAACAATCATCAGCTAAGGGTCTAAATGAAAATAAAAAAGTTATACTAAATGGACCATATGATATACGGGCCTTAATGTACCATTCCAGTCCGGTTTGAGCTCTACGTCCAAATCCAATCGTTTGCTCTCTTAACAGTGAATCCAAAAGGTGTGCTTTTAAAACTTGAAATGCCCAAGTATTTTTGGTTTGGTGTTTTTTTCTTGTTTAGCTAACCTGTAAGTGTTCGATTTGCGTAGGCCTTTATTTATTATGGCATAATGCAATATGGTTGACACCACTACAGTTCAGATGATTAAGTTGGAAGAGAGAGTAGGCATATCATTAATTTTTACGCTATCGTCGTCGAATGGTCATGAATCATTATGATTAGTTATGTTACCAAACACCCTAAACTAAAATTAGTGTGGTGACTAGATAGAGTTATAATATGGCAACCAACCGCTCCACGCTTGTTTTATAAGACTAATCTATATAAGGTGGAACATTATGATGGCAAATCTCTATAAAATTATCAGTATACTCTCAAAAGTCAAGAAAACTATAATGCATTTAATTACACATGACGCAACTAAAAACGTTTGTTAACTTTCGAACTTTCTATTTATATCGTTTTAAATTCTAGTTTAAGTAATTAACTCGGCGATGGTACCTAAGAACGAACAAGAACAACGAAACATTGCTTGGCCACGAAAGCGATGCACAAAAAGAAGCTCATTAAATCTTCACATGGACTCAAGGTCTGTGACCGTGAGTACTATATGCTTCGTAATTCTCCACAGTATCGTCTTTTCTTCTGCTGTCATGTGTGTAAGACTGTAAGTAGTATACAAAAAACATTGGTCCTTCTCGCACATTTGTTAATGACTTTTGTCATTTATCTTGGTGCTACTATAAACAAACAAAATATTATCATGATAATAAAATATATATATATTGATTGAACATTGTAGCGTGACGAGGCTGCATTCTTTTCACTTCATTGGACTTGAGATAAAATCATAAATGGACATCACAACTACTAAAATTGGTGCATGCATAACGACGAGAGAAAAACTACAAAACCATATTGTATATATATTATTGTAAGAAATATTTATGTGTATAGATCCATACACACGTATTAAATCTGGCAAATGGATCACAGAGGGCGTGGTCCAAACAAGGATCAACATCGTTGTTATAAAGATCATAATATACAGACGTCCAAATATTCATAAATGGAATTTGTCAATCGTGAGAGTCCGTTTGGCACTATGTTGTTATCAAATATTTTATTATCCAAGCATACACTTAACTAATAAAGTACAAATGATAACACGGCAAAAATACTAGTGAAAAGCATTGAATGGCAATAATCTAATTATCTTTGAATTATGTCGCTTTTGGTAGGTCATACTTCATAAAATGACCAAACATGTTGTGGTTCCGAATTTTTGTTTAATAGTATAGATTCTTGTCTAACCATTTTCACAGGTTAATTCTACAATTTGTTTCGTTATATCCAACGATAGTGCTCAGGACATTTATTAGGGTCTGAAACAATACTATTATTGGGAATTAACAATTGACTATTTCATTCATACTATAAATAACGGTGAGATATTGACGAGTTTGACCTTCCCAACACACATGTCGCCGTACGAAAACCCAATCGGACAACTTGCCTCAGCGGAGGACCATTACCTACCGACTCAGCGAACATATCACACTCATTTATTACATTCACTCTAACATTTGTTTATAACCCTACTACGATGGTTTGTATCCACATTTTTAGCAAATTAAAAATAAAAAAGTGCGAAATGAACTGAACAAAATACGCTCTTGACTTTAGACTTTCCATCTATTTTTTACGTGTAAATGATGAAACTTGATCGAATTCTCTGTATAAAGTAATCTGGATTTTGTCGTTTACAATGTAAACTCTTGTATAATAATGCCAATTGTCAATTTCTTAATCAAAATATGTATTTTTTTTCAGGGTTCTCTGGGTATTTTCTTAATATGATATTTTTTCTGGTTGGAAGTGGGTCTACTAAATGACACGTTTTTGACTAAACCATCTACTCTCGTGCTTCGAGCTTCATCACCTCTCGTGAGTTTCTTATTAATAATAATATATGAACGCATTTATGTGAACTCTGTGAAAACATAATATTATAAGATTCATTTCTTCTTAACAATGGAGGCTGAACTCGAAGTGAGTACTGAGTAGGGTCTTCTTTTATTATCAGTCGTACTTTCTTTATATCTGCATTCCTCTTCTTGCAAGCATTGGATCAGATTCTAAAAAGGTTAAATCTTGATTCTCTTTCTTTTCTGCATGAATGAATGAAAATCGTATAAAGATCAGTTTTGAGTTATAAAGTATGTTCTTTGATTGTACTCACACTTTTGGTATCATTTTTTTTATTTATAATTAGTGTTTTGTAAAAACAGAGAGAAGAAAGGACTGTGGAGTTTTAAATGGAGAAAGAGATTTGTAGAAGACATATTTCAAGAGAAGGGATGGGATGTGTTTGGATGTTTATGAACAACATGTTTGATTTCAAGCATGGTGGATCTATCCATAAGCTTTTGATGGATAAGAAACGTGGAAGCAAACGTATCATAGGTTTCAGTTTATTTTCTTTTTTTTTGTCTTGAGTCATTAATTAGAAATCGTTAAGAAAATGTGTCTGAAAAAGAAAAGAAAAAAAAGATTCTCACATGTTGGTTAATGTAACAATGCAGGTGTTGAGACTAAGGTTGAGAAGCAGCTTGCCTGTGACTGTGACATTGAGGTCCTGAATTTGAGAATCAAACTTGTTTTTATTGTGTAAAACTGCTGTGGGGAGTTGGAAACTGATGTAGATTTTTTTGTGTTCTTTGTCTCAGGAGAGTGAAGCTGGAATGCAGAGTGTCAAGAACCTCACTGAAGAGAAGAAGACTCAGCAAAATATAAAGTCCAAAAACGGGAAGAAGAGAAGTAGAACATGCAGCAAAACCAGTGAGGATATCAGTGTTTTGAGCGCTGATAATGATGATCATGCAGACAAGAACTCAGATGATCAATGTCCAAGAATTTCTCAGAGCGATGCTGACTCAGTAGCTGATGATTCAGAAGAGAAGTTCAGTGAGTTGATAAAGCGGTTGATAGCTCAGACTCAGAAGGAAACCGACGAGGTAGAGAACTGCAAGACCCTAGTGGATGCATCTCAGGTCATTGGTACTTCTCCAGTTTCAGGAGATTCTCAGAGAATCAAAGAGACAAGCTCCCAATGCACACAAACAATTGTAATCTTGAAGCCTGAGCCACATGGCTTGGATCTTGGTTTATCACCTGGAACACATGCTACATGCAACAAGGCCAAGAATGGGAGATCCGGTTCACGCTTCATTCTCAGTAGAATCAGAAGAAGACTAAAATCTTCTGCTAAGAAGAATCCATGCAATGCTGATGCATTGTCATCAGACATGAGTCAACACTCTTGTCTGGGAGAGGAAATAGAGACTACTAGTTCCAGGCGGCATGTTTCAGCTGGAGATATATTGGCTCACATTTCTTCAAAAAGTGAGGCTAGTAAAGAAGATTCAGAGACGAGTATGAGTGGTATATACATTGCAGCCAAGAAACATTTATCTGAAATGCTTGCAGAAGGAGATGCAGATGTTAAATCACCTAAAGAAGTACCAAGAATCCTTGGGAAGATTCTTTCTCTCCCTGAGTTCTCCACACCAGAGAACAGTCCAAGAGTGACACTGGCGCATGATTTTGTTGGTCATCAGATAGACGAGACACCAAATATTCAACAATGCATCTCAGAAGATTACTCTACAGGTGATTCTTCTTCTTTTTTTCTCATGAACTCATTCTTTCGTAGCCGTGGTGAGTTTTCATATTGACAGAATGAAACTAACTGTTTTTTATGAGTAATCAGGAGGCGTTTTAGACACTGGGGATGTAGAGAAGACTGTTCTGGATTCATATTCTGAAGCAGTTAGCTCTTCCATTATACACCAAGATGCATATGTTGATGAAGAGAAGCTTGAAACTCATGATGAGCATGAGCAGACACAACCACTGGAAAAGGTTGCGTCTGAGTGTCAAGACAATGCCGCTGATGTGCCAGGGAAGTCAAGTCCTGTGTCTGTTCTTGAGCCTTTCTTTACAGATGATGACACTAGTCCAAATAGCTCCAGGTTCTCTTCAGGTATACCTTTGCTACACCAGTTTTAGTACTTTGATTAAATTTTTGTACAAAGCTCAGTTCCTGACCTTTTTTCATTGACTTGATCAGTCGAAATGCGGTTACAACCACGGTGCATAAGATTCAACGAGCCTGATTCTCCAACATCAGAGAAAAACAATGAAGTCAAAACTAGAATGGATGACAAAGAATTGGCACTTGCATACATTCAAGCAGTGGTCAAATCCTCAGAGTTGAACTGGGAAGAGCTTCTGGTGAGATCCTTTTATTTGGAGCAGGTTCTTGAGCAGGCTCTAGTGGATGACATAGACTTCCATCCTACAAACTTCTGCACGGACAAGAAACTTCTCTCTGACTGTATCAATGAAGTTCTTATGGAGTTCTGTGAGCACGGCCCTTGGATCTCATTTGCCAAACCTGCTGTCCGGTTTGGCCCAGACATGGACAATGTTGTTGAAGTGGTACAAGAAGAGGTTTACTGGCATCTCATACCTTTGCCTTCTCCACACACGTTAGACCAGATAGTCAGGAAAGACCTGGCTAGGACTGGAAACTGGATGGACCTCAGCTTTGATATTGGCTGCATCGGTTCTGAAACAGGTGAAATAATCCTTGATGAAATATTAGAAGAGATCATCAGCAGCTGCTCAGACTTGTTCCAGTCAACAGTCCATTGAGTTTAACTTCTCCAACCAACAGTCACTACCAGAAAGTAAACTTGTGCTTACAAGAAAGACACTCATGATGGTCAATAGGCTCCTTTGTTTACTCTGTATAATTTCACTTCCACCTCCATGGACAAGATCTAGCTTCCCTTCTTGTGCAAATACACACAACCCACAGCTTTTAAGTACCCTAAAGACTGCAACAAACGTTTCTTTTTTGTTTTTTTTTTCCATTTGGCCTCTGTAGAGTTTTGAGTTCGGTTGTGAATGTTAGATATATGTTCCTATATGAGGATGAATAAGACGAGGCTTTGAACATATCTGAATTTTCATTAGCAGTGGTTTAGAGTGTAGCGTCTTTTTCTGTATCAATTAAAATTTCAAGAGAGAAAGAAACAGAGACACACATCACTAAAGCCTAATGTGGCTTCGGCTAAACCATCTGAGCATTTATTAGCTATATATAGTACTCAACGTTCAGTAAGAACGCTTAAAGGAACTGCATATGTACAAGAACAACGCAATACACACGGACACAAGCTGAAGTTTCCCTACTACATCTACGTGTTATACATTCAATACCTAATAACAAACCTAAGTTAGGTATCACATACTCTCTGTTTACATCGCATATATGAGAGCGGAGAGTAGTTTGACTTCAAGATTTATGCCAACCATTTGCTGAGTGCTTAATTGCATGCATCCTTTTCTTTGCGATGATCCGATTGCGTATGACCTTCTCGGACTCAACAGCTTCATCAATGTTACTAAGCACCATATCACATAGCTCGTCTAAAGCTAGCATAGAAAATGGCTCCTCTATAAGAACACCCACCTGTAGATATTGTCAAGCACAAGATTAGAAGATTGATAGTGAGGCAAGCATAGTGAATAAATTTGTGAAGGAGAAAGGAGTTAAGAGGTACTTCTTCAATGCAGAAGAGAGACGCAGCGCTGATGAAAGTAGCAGGAACAACATTCCAGTGACAATCATCCCAGAGAATAACAGGGAGTGTAAGATGCCACAAGACTAAGAACCTCGAGGTTAGTCGTGTGTAGGAAAGTGGAATCGGGATACCCATGAGTTGATCACACACACCAATCCCTTCCTGTAGTTGCAGCATCTTTGACTCCTGTAAAGAATAATATCTAACTTGAGACTGTGTAAAAAAAGGAATATGCTTTAAGGATCCAGGACAAGTACCAAAGCATCTATCTTTGTACTGTCAAGATTCAAAAGCTGAAGACTTTGGGAGATGAACTGAATGACACAACGTGGACGATGCTTTGACTGAAGGATCAAAGAGAGATCATCTTCTTCGACCACATTCCGGAGATCATCAGCAATATCAGAACCATAAATCACATGACACTACACAATAAACAAATCAATCAATAATCTTTCCTCTACCTAAGCATCATTCATTCACAAGTAACTAACAACAACAAGAAGAGACCTTAAGCGCTACAGGGAAAGCAGCAATGTAACGCAAAAGCGCATCTCTGATAACCAACTCATCATCACCGGAAGAGCTTGCGTTAAGGGAAGAAACAACCTGCCTAGCTAAATCATTAGTTCCAGTAATAATCTTAACCCACGCTTTCCTTCCTTGCTCAAACCTCGAGTACGAAGCCTCCGTGCGGAAAACCAAAAGCAGAGCTAAGGCCGGAGCGGTTAGCTGATAGGGAAGAGGAGAAGCTCGAAGGACAGGGAAGAAGCTAGGTAACCACTCCAAACCCACGGCGGAGTTATACCCGGCGATTAGGATGGCGACGGTGGTGAAGAAGAAGACGGGAGGGATCAAAGAGAGTATAACGCGAGAGGAGGTGCTGGAGGAAACGTGACGGAGATGACGGAGGGAGCTACGGTGTCTGACCCAGTTCTCGTGAGTGTAGAGAGATCGTTTCTGCTGCATCCGCCTCTCTTTGATTCCGTCTGACCAGTTCGGGACGGCTTTGAGGAGGGAGATGAGCTTCGAGGAGAGGTTTATCGGAGTTGAGTCGTCGGATTCGGGATCGGAGGAGACGCATGAAGGAGGGGTGAAATTGAGGGGTTTGCGAGGTCTGGGGTGTAATCGTGGTTCCAGGAGAGATCTGTGGGTGACGTTGGAGGAGAAAGATAACGATTGATACATTTTGGCGGGAAAATCGAGGTTTTTTTAGGGTTTGGTGGAGACGACGACGATGATGAAGAAGAAGAGGGAGGGAGGAAGCAAAAAGACACATGCAAGTTTTGCAGAGTGCAAAAAGTGAGATATGAGTTGATTAGGTGGAAAAAGGTCGTTGGAACAGTTGTTCTTGGAAGGCTGATACGGCGACGTTTTTAATTTCCCAGCTGTAGTTTTAGACTAAATGGGTTACATCGTATCTCTAAGCCCATTAAAGTACCGGAAGGAATCATCTATGTTGGGCTTATATCGTAACTTATGTGCTTTATTTTGACGATAAGTGGGCTACATCTTATCTCTAAGCCCATTAAAGTTCCGAAACCTACCACCGTCGTTTGTTGTACCTCTTGTTGAAATTTAGGGTTTATAGAGAAGGCGTATCTGGTTTGAATAGGCAGAGTTTTTATTGTAAGTGGAGAAAAAAATGTCGAAGAAGAACAATTTAGCCAAGAGAAAGAAGCAGCACGAGTACAATCTCCAAAGTAATTTTCTTTTAATAAATCTCTTAAAACAATAAGCATGTTTGTGTGTATATATAGGTTACTCAATGAATGTTTCGATTTGCAGAGGAGAAAGAAATACAGGACAAGAAGATCAAGAAGCTTCACGCCAACAAGAACAAGATGAAAGTAAGCACCTTTATGCCTTTTTTTATCTCATTTATCTGATCTTGTGTTCTTATTTAGTGTTGATTAGATGTATTGAATCTTGTTAGTAGAGCAGCTGATTATGTTTACGGTTTAGCTTATGGTTGGTTGATTTTGTTGTCAAAAGGTTGATGGTAGTGGGAAGAAGAAGAAAGGTGGATTCTCAGTTGGGAAGAAGAAGTTGAAGACTAAGTTGACTCCTGCTGCTAAAGCTAAAGCTGCTCAAGCTATGGAGCTAGACAATTGAGAAGGAACTTGTTTTAGTTTTTATTCACTTGTATGTAAACTCTTCTTTATTTGATCTTTTCATTCACTTTGAAGCTATCCTCTGATTTTTCTATCAATTGTGGTTATCTTACACACCATGATTGATTCTTTCTTGTAGGTTTACAACTTTTATGTATCGCTCTTCCTTTTGAGCTCAAGATTTTTGCTTTCCGTACTTATGATCATCACGAAATCAAATATGATTAATCTGTTTTGTTTGCTAGTTGGACTAATATTGGATGCAAGACTTTCATTCTGAGTAGAGTCATACACTACATCTTTTCTGCATTATTACATTTCCACTAAATATGGACATTACAACATACAGTATTGTCATAATGAAAGTCTTGATATAAACAGTCTCTCCAACATTACATGGTACGCTGAATTTAGATTCTCACAGGAAAAAAGATCTCAGAGGCTTCGAGAGGTTATATCATCACATCAATGGGTCCTTGTGTGAGATATTTTGAGAGATGTCTTTCTTCTCAGCCTCTCGTCAAAATGGCGCTCAAAGTGGGTACCTCTCTGACCACAGAGGCCAATCCTTTCTCACTCTCCATTCCCCCAAGTGTGTAGTCCACTCTCTCAGCCTATTCTTCTGTTTCAGGCCAAACTCAAAGGGATTATTAGTAGGTCTGGCTAATTGGGTTTCGGTTGGGTTTTCAAGTTCATTAATTTCATCTCCATTCAAATATTTTCAATCATTTCGGTTCAGATTAGTTGGATATGTTCAGATTTAGTTATATGTCTAAAATCTAACTGAACACGAAATAATTTCGGTTTCAGATACCAATCGGATTATAGATTTTAAAAGTACTAATTTCTACTTGACTAAACTCAATATATTTTCAATCATTTCAATAAATTTGTGTATTTAGTTTTTTTTCAAACCATATTTTTGTCCTTCAAAACAATTTTGTGAAACTCGTCCATCAACCATACGAGACTTTTTATTGAACTATACGTGACAACATTAAACATATCATGATTCATGACAAACCGAAACTTTGTACGAAAGAAATTATACATAATAAAACATAAAAAGTTAAAATTCACAGCTAACATTTCTATAAACGTAAGAAATACTATTTAAACTTTAAAATAACAATCTTTAACTTCAAAACAAATTTATTCATAACTAAACTTCAAATGCAAAGTCAAACATAAAAACATTAATATTAACCAAATATATATAGAGTTATTTTCACTATAAGGTAGTTTTAAGTTTTTTATTACACTCTAGGGCAATTATCACTCTTGAGACACTTTTTCCTAACTTTCTAGTTTTGTTCTAACTTTTTCTCTGTTTTTCTAACTAAAATATAATTTTGATATAACTAAATGGACCCACTCATTATTTCATCTTCTTCCTTTTTTGTGTGTAACCGTAGAGATAATGCTGTGACTATTTAATAAAAACAGTAGCGATGAGAACGGTTTCGATCCGCACCAGGTCCTTGTTAGCCATGACTGACATGAAGGAGCAGTTGACGAACTCAAAACGCAATTCAATTCTGTCAGATCTCTATAGCGATCTGTGTTAAAGTTTAGTCGTCTCCTCCTCACCGTAGTCACAGAGCGAAGAGAGCACCACCAGATTTAGTCACAGATGAAAAAGAAAGCTTTTCTGGAACAACAATGGTGAACTTTAGATTATTTGCACATATGGTCCTCCGGCTCTTGTTCCTTTTCCAATTTGTCTCAAGTTTCTATTTTTTCTCAAATTCATCCACGAATTTGACCTGGAACTTTTAATTATGCAATCCAGACCAAAAAAATATTTCAATTTTACAATATTTGTTCCCTACCGTTTTATTTCTACCAAATATATTCATGATATTCAAATAAATTCATTTTATTTGGTCCATACTTCCAAAAGTTCATGTATAAATGCATCTTAAAAATGATTAAAATGAGGTAAATTTGATGATAAATATCATAAAATCATTTCTTGTGTATGTTATTTCTAATAATATACGTATAAATGTCATATGTATATCACACTATGTCCACGTGTACAATATTTCATGTGTACACTAGTGTATTTGGTAATGAGTCACATGTACACATTGGGGAAAAAATCAAAACCATATATTGTATTTTGGGTCATAAACCATAAATCTTATTTTGTTACTTAACCATAAACTTATTTTATTTTGGAAAATGATTATTTCAGCTGAAATTAAATAATACTTATTTTAAGCTGAAACTGGAAGAAAAAAAAGAATATTCAATGATAGACATGATATCTTCATTCCATTTGAAAATATTCATCAATATTATTTTAGTGTGATCCCTACGTACAATGATTCTTGAATATATATATATATGTACCTATCATGGTGTACACAAACATTTATAAATTCAAATGTACAATAATGCATATGTACAAGATTTTACGATAATAACATGTACATTGGTACATGGATTTTGGATGCGTGGTTTACGTGGACAAATTGGTTTTCATGTTCGTGAATAATGCTAATTTTATTGATACCATAGGTGTTCAATATTGTTTTTTACATTAACTTTGTTATATGTGTACATGTGTACAATCGTTGTTGTGTATGTAATGTTTTTGGTGTACACTTATACAAACTTTAATATTTTTGATGTACATATATACAAAGGTATTTCAAACACTGAAAAATAAAATTCTTGATTTAAATGGTCCATCTACCAAGTATGCATACTTGATACCATTACCAAAAAAAACTTATATGACATGGGCATATCTTTATCCATTTCATTACAAACATATGTTTTCTGATGTTTTATTATCCATATGTATTACCGAAATATAAACATCTATGTGTACATCGTATAAAATAGTATCCACAAATATTTTAAGAAGTTAGTGTTCGTAAACGTCAGCACCTTTTCATCTAACCCCCAAATGTTATTTTTGTTTTAATGTTGATACTCTTAACCATAACAAAACAAATACTTAACCATAACAAAACAAATTTTTCTGTTTTTCTTTTCTATTTTTAGGTTGATAAGCATAACAAAACAAAAGTTTAGAAGTTTAGAAGAAAATATAACAGATTTCTTCACAAATAAAAGTATTGGGTCAAAAATAAATTAAACAAAAGATGAGGGACCAAAATTTTATAAATGTGAAAGTTCACCATTGTTGTCGTCGAGCTTTTTAGAGCTGGTGGCTGTGACAAAAAGGGCACGGTGATGATAACTTGAAGCTTCGGTATATGTGCCAAAACTTTAAATCTTGTCTTAGAGTTCGAAGCAGAGATGTATTCATTGAAAGATAGAGTTTTTGTACATCATGATTATACCACCATCAGAGATATAGCTTAACATATCTTAAATGATAGATTAGTTAATAAATATATTGACTATAAACATATTTTTTGAAAATTATGTTCTGGAAAACTAATATTCATTTTACAAAAAGAACAAAAAAATTCAGGAGGAAGAAACGAAGAAACGAAGAAGAAGATATATGGGACCTACTGTTTTTATCTTGAGGAGAAATAAATGTTTTTATATTTATTTAGTTAGATTAAAGCAGAAAAAATATTTTTAGTTAAGAAAAACTACCTCAGTAGTGAAAACTGCCTTATTTTGTTAATAAAAACTTAAAACTGTCTTTAGGTGTAATATTTTCATATATATATATATATATATTAAACTATATTTTTGTGTTAACTATTCATATAATGACTAATTATTATAGGTGCTCAATAATATCTTAGTGTGTTTTGGATATATATTATAAAATGAGATTGTTATGGTACAAGTTTTTTTTTGGAATTTTGAAATTTCAGATTCTTTCGAATATTCATTTAAGTTCAGATTCGGTTCGGATAAAAATCATAATCCAAAATACCATAAAACAAGATCTATTTGGTATTTATGTAGGATTTAGATTGGATTCTATTTAGATTTTTGGGTTAGGTTTATTTGTCCAGTACTAGGGATTAGCCTGTTAACTATACTTACAGAAACAGTAGAGGCTACTAGTAATTTCAGCTTGAAAAATGAAGAGTCTCAAAGGGAGTAGCCTGTAACTAGACTTAAAGGAAACATTAGAGACTAATACGTTCAGCTTGGAAAGTGAAGAGTCTTGTAGATTCGGTGGTGTGAAAAAAGAACAGTGACATGCTGTTGCTGTATGGTACACGCTCCTGATCAAGCGTGTGGGTGATATGAGTCTATGAGGTGCACACAAACAGATGCCTAGTTGCTATATTGAGCTACAGTCAAAGTCAGTTATTCATTAGGATTTTGAACTTGCAACATAATTTTTTTCAGAAAAAGAAAGAAAAATAAAAATGATCTCATTGTTATCCCCAGAGTAAATGCTTTTGCTTTTGAGGTTCTGTTAGAGTTTGTTTGTTTGTTTCTGTTTCTCCCTGTCACCAAGTAACGCCAGAAGAAAGAGAGAGACAGAGATAACCATAAAACCATTATGAATAGAAGAGAAAGCTTTTCTTGTTTTTGGTGAAAGAATTGAAAGGAGTAAGAGAAAGATTTTATAAGCATTGCATGTTCCTTTCTACTCAAGTTTTAATATCTTTCATAAAGTCTCTCCACCTTTGATTCTGTTTTTTCTTTCTTATCCATTTATCCTCACACACTCTCTCACCTCATAATTCTAGCCACAAAGATTTCTTCACTCTTTCTCTAGAAAACACTTATTAACAGATCTTTTTCTTTCAACTGTTAATGCTAAATGGATCAAAGAGATCCAATGGGTTTAACCGGGTCAGGTTCTTACTATATCCAAAGAGGACTACACGGCTCGGTTCCTCCAACGTTTCACGGATCATCATCACAGCAACAAGGGCTTCGTCACTTACATAACCCAAACTCTCCATTCGGTTCAGGCTCCACCGGGTTCGGATCTCCTCCTTTACACGGTGATCCTACTCCAGCAGCAGCAGCAGCAACTGGAGCTGTTCCTCATCATGTCGGCGTTCACATGATTTCTCCTCCTCCTCCTCCTCCAACGACTGAAACTCCAATGAAACGTAAGAGAGGACGTCCTAGGAAATACGGACAAGACGGTTCTGTTTCTTTAGCATTGTCTTCATCCTCTGTTTCGACCATTAACAGCTCTAACAAACGTGGCCGTGGTCGACCTCCTGGCTCTGGCAAGAAACAGAGATTGTCTTCCACTGGTAAACAAACTATCTCTGAAACTTGTTATCTTGAGAAAAATAAGAAGCCAATGTTCAATAAATAAATCTGTAGGTGGTGGTTAGGGGCCTCATAAAAGATTAATGTTTACTTTAGTGGTTAAATCTATTTTTGTACGTCTAGACCCCAAAAAATTGGTTTGAAAATAGTTTGTTTTGTTAGGATCAGACTTGCCTACTATGCATGCTCCTAGGCGCCTCTTATACCCATATTTAGAACACTAAACCAATACTAGTAATGTTTTCATGAGTCAAGAACATGGATACTTAATGAGCTTTGTGTTTATTTATTTATTTATTTATTGGTTAGGTGAGTTGATGATGCCTTCATCTTCTGGAATGAGCTTCACGCCACACGTGATCGTGGTTTCGATAGGAGAAGTAACGTTGAATCACTCTATACAAAGTTTTCATGAAATGTTTTTTTTATAATTTTTGGCTGAAAAGAGGTATAAACTTTTTTAAAAACAGGATATTGCATCAAAGGTGATAGCTTTCTCTCAACAAGGTCCAAGAGCGGTTTGTGTCCTATCTGCAAGTGGGGCTGTCTCTACTGCAACGCTGATTCAATCATCATCATCTCCTGGAGCTATTCAGTACGAGGTTAAGTTTTAAAAATTTCTCACTAAATAAGAAAAACATTGTTTTTTTTTTGTTTTGTTGAAACATATGTTTTGTAATAATCTCCAGGGCCGGTTTGAGATCCTAGCCTTATCAATATCTTATCTTGTCCCAACTGATGGAAGTTTCCGGAATAGAACCGGAAACTTGTCAGTTTCTCTTGCTAGCCCTGATGGGCGTGTGATTGGTGGTGCCATTGGAGGGCCTTTAATAGCAGCTAGTCCTGTTCAGGTTTGTCAATGTATTTCTCTGATTTTTTTGTTTAAAGTCAAGATTCTTGGGACTGAATATATGGCTTCTTGGTCCTATCAGGTTATTGTAGGGAGCTTTATATGGGCAGCTCCAAAGATCAAGAACAAGAAACGAGAAGAAGAAGGTTCTGAAAATGTTCAGGACACAAATGACCATCAAGCTCTAGATCCTGTTGTTCCTCAACACCCATCAAGCCAAAACCTGATATGGTCAACTGGTTCAAGACAAATGGATATGCGTCATGCTCATGCTGATATTGATCTAATGCGCGGTTGATGATGTAACATGGTGTTAGGGTATATAAAGCATGGAATCTAGGAACAAGAAGAAGAAGAAGGAACATAAGCTAACCTCTGAGATGTTTAAGTCTTTATGTCTGCATGGAACTTCTTTGATTCAAATTGTTGACTTAAAGTGACTACTCGTTTTAACTTTGCTAATTTCAACATGAATACAAGACAATATCCTCTATGGTTCAAGGCTTGATACTACCATTACTAAAATATTGATCCTCCCAAAACTCAACTTGGCGAGTTACATTAGCTTTTCTCTCGAGAACCTCTCTTAGCTCAAGAGGGGTATAAGGAAGAGGCATCTCACAAGGAGACACTTCACTAGGAGACATCACCATCGACTCCTCCATGAAATCTCTCCACCGTCCTGTCGCCGGACATCCCATACTATCCGGTGTTATCTCAGTAGCTCCCCAAGGAATCTCCGGTTTAAACCTCAAAAGCTTGGCATACTCGTTCATCAAATGGAACATGTAATCATACACATGTTCCATGTTCACTTCCTCTCTTATATATCTGCTCCCTTCTTCCCCTATCTTACGTGCCTGTCAAATAAACCCCGAAATCAATGGGTTAATTTGTTACAAAAAGAAACTTCTGGGGTCTAAACGTAATAACATTACAAACCTGGTCCAAATGGGTATTTCCCCAATGTACGGCGTGTTTGAGGGAAGTACACTTGGAGTTGTCTCTGATTGGCCAATAATGTTGTAATGGCATCATTCCTCGTATAAAAAAATCATAGTACTTTGGTCTCACATATAATGTCATTGAGTCACATGCCATTATATACTTCTCACTCACTGACCATGCCCATCCTTCTATGTATATCTTGTACCTATTCCAAAATTAGAATATCACCTCACCATTATATATTCTCCAAAGGACCAAAACAAATAAACAAATGGCTGAAAATAACAATTATTTTTTTACCTGTGGGTGCATTGGTTCTCTAAGTTCGAGTTCTTGAATCCTTCTCTTGATTCTCTGACCCAATCCTTCAAATGAAAAACTATATTGTATTAATAATTTATCAAAATGTTTTAGAGGAAGTGAGATTATGAAGAAGCAGACATTGATGTAGAGACGAGTGTTCCAGTCTTGCTGGTCTGAGACATTGCATGTAAGAAGATCCCTCCTAGTGGGGGCCACATTTGGGTTTCCTCTCCAATAAGCGTACGCCACGCGGTCATTCCATGGCGTCATCTTGTTCCCTTCTTGTATCGCCACCATGGACTTAGCCCAAGGCTTAATATTAACTTCAGCCCTGATCCAATAGAAAGTAAAGCCCATTCTATTAGTTAAGCCCAATTAAAAAAGCGGTTTTGTATATTATTATTGCTGCTTACCAGCCCCAGAAAGACCAATCAGGGAAGACGATATCCAAGCTGGCGTCATCAGAGCAATAGCGGAATACTGGAGGTGGGGCCGGGTGTTGTTGACCTTTATAGTCGTTAGATCTGACGGTTGGTCTATCATTCGCGTCAAACATGAGCTCTAGATCAGGCAATCTCCCTGGGTACCACCGTAGTAACTGTAGGATGCCCCACAGTGTAAAAACATCTCGAGTGTCGATAGATTTTCTGTACTTCTTAACGTACACCTTCCCGTCGAGGATTATAACCCTGAAATGCGCCTTGTTATTCCTCGCTTTCTCAAGCATCCCCCTCGTGATACCTGTCTCTCTCCACGGCCGTAGATCCTCGTGGATCCAACGGAAGTAAGAAGGACACGTGGATGGTCCTGGATGGCTGCTTCTAGCTTTGTTGTTGTTTGTGCCGTCTTCGGACATTGGCAGTTGCTGTCTTTCTTCTTGTGTTTGGTTCTGTACGACGTCGCATTGGCGAGGGAACTTGTAGTTTGTGATTGGTTGTTTTCTGATTGTTGTGACTTGTTTCAGACCTGCAAAAGTTGTCTGAAGAAAGAAGTTTAAGAGATCTTAATTATATATATAACACTCTAAAGATCACTAACAAAAAAGTTGTTTTTGAGATTTGAAACTCACTGAATCGAAACAACCCAACAAGTCTAAGAGACCAGCAGATATGAAGAGACAAGAGATGAAGAAGAGAGTAGCTTTTGCGATGCGTTTTCCTGGATACGGAGCCGTTTTGAGAGAGGCATGCCTGTTCGTTTGACTATCGTTGTTGTTCCTCTTCATGCTTTTGCGTTGAAGCATGACTCTTTAGCTACCTTCCTCAGCTCAGCTTATATACATGTGCACACAAACATTAAACACGAGAGAAGAAAACGAGAACCTGGCGCGAGGAAGAAGACGCCCACAAAGCTTTGACTTTGATTCACGAGGATTTGAATCTTGTTTCACGTTTTCTCCAACACCACTAACCTGAGATCACATCTTTTGTGTTAATGAATTTCTTATTGTTTTGTTTTTGGAAGGGTTAAATGTTTTCTAATATTAAAGCCATGATAATATTTATATTAGTAGGATAAATTGGTTATACATTTTCACAGGATCCTATCAGATGAAGCCAATTATATACGATATAAATTTATTTCCCAGATAAATAATTACTTGTATCACTGAACTTATTGGACAATTTTAACCTTTGAGTATTTAAGATTTGTTAAAAAAGAAAAAGAGTATCTAAGATATACAATCTTATCATTAAAAGTTAAATAGTTACGGGTTCAATTGGTCAAAAACCCTCTTTGAGAATGTATGTTTGTAATATAGAATAAGAATCAACCTCCCAAGAACGAAAAAAGCTTTAGCCATCAAATAAAGTTCAGTGACATCGCAGACCATATTCGACCACTCATAACACAAAAGATAACAAAAATCGTTAAATAACTCCAAGTTGTCTGCGTGTTTCAAAAAAAAAAAAAAAGTGTTTCAAAAAACTCCAAGTTGTATGCGTTGACAAAAATAAAAACTCCATGTTGTATGTTATATAATAAAAATCATAGGTTACAGACTTATATATACATATCTTTCCCAGGCTGTTCACATCTGTGTTGAGTACCCTCGAATAATTAAGTGATCTTAATCCTATTGCTATCATGTACTCCTAAAACAAGATTTGCAGCCTTTCTTATAGTTTTTAATTAGTTGGGCCGTTAGAATTTATAAAAGCCCAAAAAACTACAAAACGTTAAGTCCTCCATCTCATGTCAGCCAGAAGGGTCTATAAGTAAAAGTCATATTAAGTAAGGCTTTTCACTCTCTAAAGTCTAAACTAAACGAGCAAAGTCTTTAATAAGGGCCCATAGAGCAGATGACCAAACCGGTTTAATTTAATTACTCGCCTTTTGACTCGCGACCCGCACAGGTATTTGTTTTTCATAATTATATATTTTTCACTTTTAACATTGTCGAACATAACTATTTATGTTCTTATTATAGGTTATTAAACTTTGACATTGGTGTCTCTAGTTAATTTTTTTAGTGTCCATTTATAAACTATGAGATTGTGTCTTTTTCTTAATTGTGTTTTTATTCATTATATTTGGTAAAGTAAAAATTAAAGTTTGAAATATTAGAGTCTTAAGGATACTTGTGGGTTTTATGGAAACACAATAATTTAATGGGATTTAAAGTTGAAGATAAAATTCAGATTTTATATTCATATTTTTAAAACAAATACATTATTTAGACAGAAACATAAAAATGTTTGATATACTCTCAAAATACTGTAAAATAGCTGTTTTTTAGGTTAATAGAAATTTTGATATATGATTAAATATTTTGGTTTTGGTGTATATTATTAAGATACAAAATCATATTATATGGAAGACGTTAATGATTTTTGTTTAAAATTACATAATTTATCAATTTATTTATTTGTGATTTAGTTTGATCAAATTAAAAAAATTATTTATGATTTAGTATGTACACTTTTATGTAAAATTATTTTTTATTTGCATTTTGTAATGCTTACAACTATGAAGTTAGTGATAAGAAATATTATTACAAATTTTATTAGATTTTGAAAAAAAAAACAGTTTTGCTGGTCGCCATTTAATTTTTAGTATTTCTATCTGATTTTTGAATGAGAAAAAAATTATATATATATACAATAAAAACTCTATAAACCAATAAGAAATAGCCCTATATAATTCAAGCATTACTCCTCCATAACTCTATAAACTCTATTTATATATGTAGAATACCAAAGTTAATAATTCAAAACTAAGAAATAGTTTAGAAATTAAGAATGAAATTAAGACAAAGAACATTATTTAAATCAATTTTGGTTCCTCCAAATTAAAAAAAAACTGCTCATTCTCCTATAGGTAGGCCTCGTTGAATTTGGTGCATGCGACTTCTTTTGCTAGAAGCATGAATCTTAATACCCTATAGTTGGTGAAACACGGGTTATATTAGAGAATGATTGACGAAAGTAGTGAATTTAAATTTCATAAGGAAAACCTACCAATTGATTGGCTTAAACCATATTAAACGTATCATCTTCTATAAATGCAAGTATTTAACCTGAACTTGCCATGATTTTTTGAAAGGGTTGGGTTAGTTGAGAGGAGTAAAAATAGCAATCTTAGACATTTTGTGAGTGTAAAATTATATGGTTTCACACAGCAGGGATGGTGTAAATATAGTTTGGTTCGGAATAGATAGGTTAAATAGGATATTCTATAAAAGTATTATGTAGTTGTGATTAGAAGGAATAGAAAAGTGATATACGTATTAGTCTTGTCGAGGGGTCTCTCGTAGTATCCGTTGATGTAACCAAGCTGGGCCTCCTAGAGCAAGATAAGATTGCAATCTCCCTTGGAGTCACCCCAAAATCGCCCATCTGCAACTCCTTATTCCTCCAATTCACATGCATATTGCATTTGATAATACCTTGTGGTGGGGGGCACCATCCTTCCTGTTCTACTGGGCATAAGTTCTGTTGGTTCGCTACGTGATGTTGCTTGTTCACTTCAAACCAAATAGATGCTTCCTCCTCAGCATTACTAACCCAAAATGCTGCAGATTCTTGAGTTTCTGCATAAAGGATAGAGTTTCTGTTCTTCCAAATATTCCACAACAGCCAAGGGATAGAACGAATGTGTACATCATCAGTACTATTCTTATCCAGTAAGTCAAAGAGAAACGTCATATTTTCCTCCAAACCTGATGTGAAACCCTGGTGAGGTTTAGGACAACGTGAGATGCTCCATATATCTTGTGCTTTCGGACATAGAAATAACATATGGTTTATCGTTTCCAGAGCAACCTCACAGAGTTTACAGTCCCCCACTTCTATCAAGCCTCTGGAATGAAGTCTGTCTGCCACTGCTAAGGCACCAGAAAAAATGCGCCAAAGAAACATTCTTATCTTTGACAGAGTAGCAATTTTCCAAGTACGTTTCTTCAGCATTAACACTTGTTTCTCCAGTTCTGTTATGTTGGTATTGAGTCGAGCTTTCTGATTTGCCAGACACCAATAACCACTCTTGACAGAATAAGCTCCATTTTTTGTATACGCCCATATATCCTTATCCTCTCTTCCACCAATCTGGAGATTCAAAATCCTTTTCACTTCATTTTCTGGAAACAACTCGTCCAACACCTCCTTGCGCCAATTTCCATTCTGATCCAATAAGTCAGAGACTCTCAAGTTAACGTCGAAAAAGATCTGTTTGTTGATTGGCCTGCGAGGTTCCTCATCCATGATCCACTTGTCCATCCACACTGAAGACGTTAAGCCTTTACCAATCGAGCGGAGCAGGCCCTTTTGTAGGAGTTCCCTTCCAAAGATAATGCTTCTCCACGCGTAGGAGGGTCGAAAACCTTTTCCTTCTTCTAAGAATTCACTTCTTGCATAATACCGGCCTTTGAAGATCTTTGCCAATAAACTCTCTGGTTCATTTAAAAGCTTCCAAGCTTGCTTCGCAAGCAAAGCCTGATTAAAGTCTTCTATATCTCTAAAACCAAGACCTCCGTTTTCCTTTGCCGCACACAATTTGTCCCAAGCAACCCAGTGAATTTTCTTCTTATCACCACTCTCATTCCACCAAAACGCTGACATCGCACTCATTATCTTTTGGCAATGATGTTTGGTGAGTCGAAAACATGACATCGCGTACACAGGAAGAGCCATTGCTATTGACTTGAGTAGTATCTCTTTTCCCCCGAGGGACAGCATTTTGGTAGACCACCCATTGAGTCTCTTATCCAATTTTTCTCCAATGAAGGCCAAGAGCTTCTGTTTTGAACCACTAAAGCATTCGGGTAATCCGAGATACGAACCAGCCCCGCCTTCATTTTCAATGTCTAGGATTTCTGCAATGCGACGTCGCATTACCGGATCAATACCCTCACCAAAGGTGATAGAGGATTTCTGGAAGTTTATTTCCTGACCGGAGGCCTTACCATACAACTCCAGACATCTTAGGAAGGCCTTACATTCACCCAATTCCGCACGTATGAGAAACAAACTATCATCTGCGAACAAGAGATGTTGAATTGAAGGACAATGGCGTGTGAGCTTCATACCAGAGATTTGCCCATTTTCTTCCGCTTTGTTCATGACATGAACAAGAGCCTCCGCACATAGGATAAAAAGAAAAGGCGACAACGGATCCCCTTGTCTCAATCCACGTTCTGGACGGATGTGTCCATATTCCTGTCCGTTGAGGAGGACTGAGTACGAAATAGATCTGATACACTTCATGATCCAATCAATCCATTTCCTGTCAAAACCCAACTTGAGAAAGAGCGCTTCCAAGAAGGACCATTCAACACGATCATAAGCCTTGGACATGTCTGTTTTGATTGCAATGAAACCTTCTTTGCAATTAGGATTAGTCTTCAGTCCATGTACCATCTCATGGGCAATTAGAAGGTTGTCCGATATTAAGCGTCCATCAACAAACGCACCTTGAGTAGGAGACACAATCTGTGGCAAGATTCTTTTAAGGCGTGAGCAGAGAACCTTAGAAATGATCTTATATGTCACAGAACATAAGCTAATGGGACGGAGATCTGACATCTTTGATGGATTTAGTTTCTTAGGGAGCAAGAACAGTTGTGTGTAATTCCATTCTGATGGAAGTACACCTTCTTGGAAGAAACGATGAACTTCCTTCGTTATCAATGGGCCTGTGTGATCCCAATGTTTCTGAAAGAAATGGGTAGTCATGCCATCTGCACCCGGTGTACTATCGCTTTTAATAGCCTTCACAGCTCTTCTGATCTCTGCATCTGAAACC